TTATTATACATTAATCCAACTCTCTACTGTTTTATTATATATACTAGAGAAATAATGGTTGTTGTCATTAGGGTTAATAATATTGCTTATAGGTTACAGGTTATATTTACTCTTTTCAGTGCATAATATGATCTTTTTAAGCTAAAACCCTATTTCCTGAATAATGAATCTCTAATTACTAAGAAATCAAACTATGGTTGATGTAACATTTTTCTCTCTTTCTCATCAAAAGTACAACTTTTCAAATTTGCAAGGATCTACAACCAGGAACAAAAAAATAAAAGAAAACCTCAAGGTTATTCTCCATCAAGTTCTCTTCAACACTGAGGTTTTTTTTTTCCCATAATGCTGCTAGTTGTAAAGCCTTGTCAATTTAAAAGTTGTGGAATTTCTGGTGCAGGTTTTGAATGGCATGAACCATATTTTGGAATCTATGATAGTTTAAAATCCACTAAAGGTAACCATAAGGAAGATACTCACAGTTGTTATTTATTACGCATAATATGATAGTATAACAAAGAATTATGTGGAATTTATGTATCAGATTGGATGGTAAGATAAAATCTAATTGAAAGCAAGTAGAAATAAACAGAGAGAAATATTGGAAGTACAGAAGAGACTATTTAAGTCTTTGATTCCTGAATTTCAAGTTGTTGATGAGAGGAATATATCTTTTATAGACATGCCTCTTAAAATCATCACATAAAATTTGTTATGATAGGGTTCTAAAACCTAAGTGGTTGTGTATAAAGTCTTGGCAGTATTATGCTGAGTGTTGCATGGAAAATTGTTACACTTTTTGGGTCAAAACTGGTTTAGAGGCTAATCTTCCAGAACTATATACATCGAGTACAATCGTGTCTAATAAGTTTCCATACCCCTATGCGCAACCACGCCACCCCAATAAAATAGAAACTTGAAAATTTGAAAAAAATGACAACAACTTAATTACAGAATAGATAGTAAAAGAAAGGAAATAGAAAATTTTAAACATTTTACTATTTTGTATGGCTTCCATCTGCATCCAGCACAGCCTGAACTCTCTCGGGCATTCTTTTAATCCACCTATCAATTGTCTCTTAGGGAATGTGCTCCCACTCCTTTTTAGCTGCTTGAAATAATTCAGGTGTACTGTGAGACCTTCTCTCTTACCTGGAGAACTACTTTTTGAGGGCCTTTTTAAGAAGGGACCAGGCATTCTTAATAGGATTCAGATCTGGGGAGTTGGGAGGCTAAGACAGTCTTTGATATCCACAATCCTCCTGCAATTTCTTGTTTTCCGACCTATTATGCCATGATGCATTATCAGCAGCCATATGAATAGTTCCTGGGGATCTATTTATTTCTGCAATGAAGGGGATAAGGTATGAGTGGTAAATTTCAGCAGCATACTAATATGGATTCAGACAAAGCCTGTCTGATTTACTGGTTCTTTCCTCCTTACACCTCCTCCTGGCAACAATTAACTCAGTCTATCTTCCATATATGATTGTGGTGTGGGCACTGATGTTACTGCATCCTGACTTAAAGCTTGGCTTTAAGTTTTTTTCCTCTAGCTCCTCACGTACTTTAGGTCTGACCTTTGTTCCCCCTGGATTTGGATCATACTCAATTGTGGCCTCATCAACAAAAACTACCCACTTCTAAGCTCTTGTCTAATTTTGCCTCTGCCTTGCCAGTGCAAACTCCTGCCTCTTGTCCTTGAGTTCTTTCCTCCAAAATAGCTTTTTCTTGGTATTTTAAGGTTAGAACCAGCCTCACCAGAGACCTTACAGATAGTATCCTTTCCAAGACCAACATTATCATTCTGAGTAATATCCCTTAGTGCTAAGTGAGGCTTAGTATCAATAATATCAAGTGTGATCTTCTTTCAGGCATCAGAAATCTTTGTTGATCTGCCAGCTCCAGGAGTATCATGGTTGTTGCTCTCATAGTTTTCAGTCTTCTTTATCATTGTAGAAATAGCTCACTTGAAGAGCTTCAAAAGCATGAAAACTTTGTTATACCTTGTATCTGTATATTTATACAGAATGTAAATTTCTTGGTTTCTGTTTTCTCTAGCATGACGGGAGTGTGGCTGGGCCTGTTACACATAGAAGCATAATCAGTATGGCATATAACTAAATGTATAAGGCCACGCGTCCAATCCCGCGCCCCAACACGGCTATCATGATGATATCTTATAAATGCACAGAACAATAAGGCATTTATGCAGCCTACTTTGGAGAGATATGAGGCGTGTGACCACAGGGCTTTCACAAGATGACATAGAAGAAGCTCCACTCTATAAGATGAGACGTGGATCATTCAAATTGGTCAGTTAGTTATGAAGCTACAAGTTCTGCAAGTGTATGTGCTCTTGCTCCTATAGAAATGAGATGTAAGGTACAAGCCCCTGAGGCTTGCAGGGACCAGAGGCATCCAGAGACTGGTTCACGATTGGATAAATAACAACTCACTGGTCGAGTTAGTTATCTTCATCATATACTCTAAGCCTATGCACATAGAAGAATCATTAATAAGTCCTTTGAACAGAGCTGATCATGCTACTCAGAAAGAAAGCAGAGAAGTTAGTTTTTAGAGTCTAACACAGTTCAGACTCTGGGGACACTGAAGTGTTAGTATGGCAGGTATATAGCCAATAAGGGATTTGATGTAGCCCATAACTATCCAGACACAGATTATAAATATTAAGGTACCTTCCTAGCTTTAAGATCATCCTCTGTCTCCGCTACACCACTGGCGATTGAAAATCAATACCATGAGTTTTATCGTAAAACCATCACCACTTTCCCGCCTACTCCTGCCTTTGACTTCTGCTTAGGGGAGTCTGGCTCTTCCCTCCTCTCATGTGTCAGGGTATTGACTTTGGTCTACCGTCGCAGGGCCCTTTCTCTGCTTGGGGTTGGTCGTTCAGAGGTCCTCCTTCACTGGCTAGCAGGTAGTGGGATCCCTTCCACTACAGTGATGCTATCTCTCCCAGCACAAGCGACTACATGAGAGACGCGGTAAAATACCTGCTTTGCTTTGCCTAGGTGGCTGTTGATGATCTTTCTTACTCCCCCTTTCTGCTCCCTCCACGCATGGTGTGGAGTCCTCTCCTCCCCTTAAGTGGGCCTCGCTTAGCCTTCTTACGGTCAGCAACCCCTTAACCACCATCGTCAGACGGCTGGGACTACAATTCCAGTAGGGGAGAACAGCCAACAGGCTACAGTCGATCTCCCCATTCTCTTGCTCAGCTAAGAGGCTGCCTAGTTAGACACGAACGTGATACCAATAGATGATGTTTAAGGTCTTTGGGTCTACCCCTCCGCTCTCCTCTTCCTACGGTTGGATCAGCTGACACCCTACTGCTACACCTTCCCCTCCCTCTGGTGATCACCCACGGCCGGCTGGTCTCCTCCTTCCCTCCATGTTATTGAACTACCTCCTTGGAGTGGGTCTGGGGTAGGCCCTCTATCTTAGATTGCTTCAGGCGCCACTTCCCGCTTGAATGAGTGGACTCACCCTTTGGGGTCTACATGGCTAGCTACTAACCTTTCTTGTATCTTTTTGGGATTTCTCAGTGGGTTTTCCTGGCCCTTCCTACTTTCTTCTTAGT